GAGTGGAAATCAACTGTAGAGCAGAGAAGTCTTGCACAACCAGAGTCACAGACCTCTATGCGGCGCTGCAATCGGTGAAGCAGTCAGGGGCAGCGGACAGAGCACACACGGCAAACAGCTGGGAAGAGAAGACGCCGAGCACAGCAGCATCATAAACTCCCAATGATGGCAGGCGACCCTTTCACGAAACAGCGGAGCAATCGTGGCATGGCCACTACTAATCTGGCATTTTTACACTCAAGGCTCCAGTGGGCAGGACCACACTCAACCAGGAAGCAGCATCTCTCAGGGGCTCCCAAATGACCCCAAAGGCTAACTCCCACAGGGGCTCAATAGTCCAAATCCATCTCTAACAGAGACACCTCATGTAGGAGCCCCATAAACAAACTGCCTTCCATGCTGAAGGGCCACACAGATGTCTGCCAAGTGCAATCTCCTGAAGGAGTCCAGGAAGATAAAATTGCTAAACCCAGTATGAATACACCTTGAAACAATAACAGCAACAACAATAACAACAACAAAAACTCACGCTAATGAAACCAAAACCCCAATAAAACAAAGCTCTTAGGTACTAAAGAAATTATGAGGACTGAATGGCCAGTGCAATGAATGGCAATGGAGGGCCAGACAAGCCTCTATGGTCCACACCAACACTACTCCACCTCTATGCTGGGTTGGATTATTCATTGTCATGGCCACAAACCAGACAACTCACAGTTCAAGGGGTCTGTAAGGGAAGTCGACGGTTACCAGAAGTCAGGATCGGCAAACAGTAAGGACACAGTGATTGGTCTCCCCGGCCAGCAGTCAGGTCTTTCTCTAGTTGTAAGCCTCTCAGCTGTGTGGTAGGCAAGCCTGTCTCTGAGTTTCAGCCCCTGAGCAGCCCAGCCTGTCGCCACTTCTTAGTCTCTCAGCCATGTGGTCCCTGGGCCAGGAGGCCAGTCCGCCCGCCACTGTTCCACAGTTCCATAGTTGCGTGCCAGGTAAGAAGGCACCCCATCCTTTTGGCGCAGATTCTCTGAGTCTGTTCTGTAGGGTCACTATGAGGCTGTACTGACTTGAGGGCACTGAGTGGGGATTTGGCTTTGCCTCCCTTGGCACGCTCCAATTCCACTCCGGCATCATTGGTCTCGGTGCACTGTTACACAGCTCCCTCCCTCTCTGCGCGCTATCGGTGCGCCACAGCCACGAAGCCTCGTGCAGGAAGACCGTTTAGTCCTTCTGAACTTCGGTATTTTCCCTCATAACCTTGTTGTTAAGATTTTCCACTAGGACACATATTAATTAACTGTTCATTCAGCTTTTGTATATGCTTAGAATTCTATACGTAAATGAGATGGGACAGAAGGTGGGTGGTGGAAACATGGTCGCTGAGTTCTTAAAGCATCCGGTCTAGGCGGAAGGAAATACTTTGTTGAATTCAGCAAATCATCTAAACCATGTTGTGTAAAACTACTACTCCAGTGTGTTCTTCCATAGGGACTGCTGTCCGGAGGACCTGCAGTCCATATGTAAATGAAGTAACACCAATTAGGATGTTTTGATAATATATGAGGTGGTTCCCAAAAGTTCATGGAAAAAACGATATTACCTTTTGATAATATATATATTATTATCATATATATCATATATATATGCCCACCTCATATATATACACCTATAGGTAAATATGCATATACATGCATTGGCCTTATTAATAAGTACTTTTAAATATATTGATAAATCAATCCACACAGCAAACTTTATACCCTATTGTAAGATGGAAAGAAACTTGTCTCACATAGATGTTAACCCTTTTAAGGCCCAATTATCTTCTGCTTAGAATTTTTTGTTGAAATCATGTGTTTTCAGATGGTAGGCATTTTGAATAAAATAAAAGCAATGTTTTTGAGGCCATGCAGATTTTGATATAATTAGTGGGACCCATGTATCACCAAAAGTGATTGATGATGGGCTGGTGGGAACAGGTTGGCCTGTTCCTTGAGATTCATGCAATTACACAAACCAAACCAAACTCACTGCCGTCAGCCAGTTCTGACTGCTAACGACCCCCTCATGGGTCAGGGGAGAACTGTGCTTGTGGGTTCCTGAGACTTCTGGGGTGCTCTGCTTTCAGGAAAGATCCATCTGTCGTAAGCCATGAGATCGTGGTGCCATATCCTTTTCTAATTCCAGCTTCAACTTCTTGTCAATACCCTGCTGTAACCATGGCAGAATTATTTCCGGTAAAATCTTACTTTCCAGTAATATTAATGACACTGTTGAATAATTTCCACATTCTGTTGGGCAGCTTTCTTTGTTAATGGGCATAACTGTTGACAGCCTCCTAATCTGGATGATACCGCCAAGAATTGTTTAATGTTTTCCTATTTTTTACCCAGGGTTCACACAGATAGAGGCTTATGTATGAAGATGTTCAATTAAGTATTAAAAGTTTAACCTAATGACTCTTAATATGTAATATATATATGTAGTATAAAATTCAAAGAGTACAGTTCAAGAGTGAAAAAAAATGTCTCTTTCTCTCCTGTCCCAGGCCACCTGGCTCTCTGTCTGATATAAGTTTCTAGGAATAAAGCATCATTTAAAACAGGGGTAATGCTATAGTATAGATCCAAACAGTTTTTTATTACTTGTCATCAGAAATGTTATTATGAAGAATCTTTAATAGCATACAAAATACCATATATTAGAAAGTAAGACCTGAATACAAAATTTTACCTAAAATGTGACTTTAATTCAGATTAAAAAATGGACATCAAAAACATGGAAGAAATAGTACCAAGCACTGAAAATGGCTGCTACTGGGTTGTGAGATTAAGGTAACTTTCTTCCCTTCTACCTATCCACCTTGAAAAAAAAAAAAAAAATCCAAAGATGTTAGGAGTGTTCTAAAATGAACATCCATTTCGCAACCAGGCAAACACTTACTATGATGTCGTAGTATTTCTTACTGTGTAATAAGGCCACCAAATTGGAACACATACTTGACTTCAGAGTGCCTCTCTTAAAAGTTTTTGGAAAAGAAGATATACTTATAGACTTAAAAAATTTCAATGAGCACTTTTTATTGTACAACAACAAAAAGCGGTATTTTCAGAGAAATCACCTTAGGAGACCACGTGTTTCCTTTTAAGACAGGCATGCTCTGGATTCTTTTTCTGGATCAACTGGTTCAAAGCCACAGAAGCAGGGCCATTTCAGTCTTTACAGTTCACAATGAACGCAACCCAAATAGTTGACATAGAAATGCAGCTGGCACTTAAGCTTGATGAAATAGTCACAGACTATGTAAGACTACGTACCAGGATCAGAACCGAGCCTGTTGCTATGGCTGCTGTGGTCACACGCACGCCAGGGTGATCTCAGAGCCTGCGTGGTGAATCCAAGGCTGACGTGGCACGGGGGCAGACCGATGCCCCTTTCTCTCGTGGAGAGAGAGGCTGGTGGACAGAAACCACGGACGTTTAGGTCGCCAGTGGAGTGCTGTAGCCACTGCACCACCAAAGATCACTATAATAGACGGTAATGGTAAAAATCTACTAGAGCTGCACATATAAACATGAATGAACTTCATTCACAGCATTGAGTAACACACTTAGTATGATACCATGCGAACGCTAACATGATTTATTCCAAAAGAATCCAAACCCATGCGTCAGCATCTCATCTCATCAGCTGGGAGGGGGGCAGTGGGTACTGACAAGGATCCTACTACCTCTTGTACTGAGGAAGTGGACACATGTATGCAAATGCCCAGCGATTAAGATATTTTGTACAATGACAAAGGTGTTCCTGGAGTTTCCCATATAAAGTTCAAAAGTGATCCTGCCTCTCCAAAATCACCAGGGGACAGTCACCTCACTTTACCGCTTCTAGTTCTTGACCAAGTTTACAACTAACCACTGAGATAAAAGAGGAGGGGTTTAGGCTTGGAAGATTTCTTAAAACGGGAACTAGGGAAAACTGCCAGACAATGCTTGTGCAAGTTCCACCTGCCAGTGCCGCTGGCTGCCTGATGCTGGACACAGGAGGCAGGGCTTCCTCAGGAGCCACCTGAGGTCCATGCCGGGGCGATCCTGGCAGATGGACATCTCAGGCGCCATGTGTGTGCGAAGGCCACGGGGTGCGCCCAGAAGAACGTCAGCAGAGGAACTTACTGCGATGTCAACAACGGTCTTGATGGCCTTGGCTTTTCTCTTCATGAAGTCATCATCCTACAGACAAGACAGAGATGAAGTGAACTCTCCATGCAGACCAAGGCTCGGCACCACTGTTCAACTCTCAAACACGCCTTATCGCCTGACGGCTCACAGCTGCTTGGCTTGGTATCATTTTCTAACAAATGAAACTCTGCTCTATGTGGGAAAATGCAAGGACCTCTGCAGATGGCTCCAACTCAGACCCGCACAACCTGGTAAGATGGAGGGACCAGCAGGGAGAGTGGATGCCAAATGCTTATGGTTATGCATAATTACCTCGTCGTGAATCCGAGGTTCTGTGCTTACAGAATGGGGTGGCAAAGCCTATCTCCGGGGGCAGTTGTAAGGATTAAAAGATGGGGCACATCATGTACTGGGATTGGAACATACACGTTTCTGCTACGTAGTTGCTGTTGAATCAACTGTGACCACAGTGACTGTGTGTGTGAACAGGCGGGCTCCATGGGTGTTCATGGCTAAGACCTTTCCAAAACAGTCAGGCGTGCCCTCCAAGACACTTAATGACGGGTTCAAAGTACTAAGCTTCTGCCGAGTCCTCGTGCACGTAACTCTTTGTAACACCCAGAAACTCCAAGTATTTGATAGCTATCATTGTTGTTGCTGGAACTAGTACTATAGGACTGTCCTGGGCAAATGGCACCTCAGAAAACATTACTCTTGGTCTTGCCATTTACTAAAAGTTCTGATCAAGTACCAAAATTCAGTGTCAGGCCAGTGTAGCCTACACTGCTTCAGGCACCATTATTCCTGTGAAGTGTTTCTAGACAAAAAGGTTCCATGATTAAACAAAGTGGGGACACAGGATAGAGCACGCCCCAGACTGAGACTGACGCTTAAAGCTCCAGAATAATCCTGTGGTAAAGAAACCAGTGTTTAACTCTGGTTAACTGGTGCTCCCAAAGCATCATTAATCACAGAGCAATCTGTTCAGCTAAAAATGCCTTCCCATCCCATGGAACAAGAACTCTGTGGAAGACATGCCCATAAATCACGTCAGCGATGCCTTCAGGAAGTCTACAGTGAGCACAAGGGGGATGCTGGCAGCCACAGCGTTTGCTTTGAAAAAATACCCCGGACGACAACCGTGGAGCAGGTGTGTGGAGAAGCAGCACTCAAGTTAGAATGAGAAGACAAGAAAGGCAGAAGCATGAACCAGTGTTCCTTACTCAGGGAATGGTAGGAATCAGATCTGAATCCCATGATGCGTCTGAACACCACAGAATCACCCCCACAATGGAACACGCTGTGAGCAGTCCTGATGCAATTGCAAGGAAGTTTCCTTGGCAATGTGACCTCCTTCCTTATCAGGACGCTATTGGAAAGCTTCCTTTTTGCTGGGTCCAATTCCTGCATTTGGCTCATTGACCTTCACTGTAAACTTGAGGCAATGTTCTGCTACATTGCCTGCAGATCTTATTAGCTATCGGTCCTACTAGCCAGTAATCTGATCTGCAGACCTTAGATTTATTATTTACCTCTCCCCTCACAAGTCTAAACTTCAGACCTTGGACTTATATGCCCGGCTGCAGCTACCACCCTTTGTTATTTTTGCTGATCTGGATTCATCAGCTCCAAGTCAGGAGGCATCCTCCAGTTTAACGTGACCCAGGTCTGAGGGGCTGCCCCAATCCCAACCATGTGGACAGCCTCCCCCGCCCCCCCCCCCCCCACCCTCCCCGCCCCCCCCCCCCCAAAAAAAGCCCCCCCCCCCCCCCCCCCCCCCCCCCCCCCCCCCCCCATTAGAATTTACTTCAGAGGACAGCACTGAAGCTACAGCTCAGGGAGAGGACTTGTCTGATCAGAGCACATGGGAGCAAATGAAGGGAGAGGAAGAGAGAGTGGAGCACATCCTGGCCCACCAAGCCTTGAGGACAACATTCCTGCTCAGAACAGTTAATGCACAGAGAGGACCATATGACCAGCCCCACTATGAGACACGACATCCCTCACTGACCCATAGCCCTACAGTGACAACACTGGAGATGGTGTGGGAACTGCGCCCGATCTGACCCCACCACACTGAGGCAAAACACTAAGGGCGTGCAACAGAACAGTGAGGGGAGCAGAGCAAGGAAGTCCCGAAGGAGAAGAAAACTAGACTTTGGGGCCAGGGCATGGCACCCGATCAGATTTGACCAGAAAACACTCCTAAAGGTCAACAAACAGTCCTTGAACTATTTACAGGCTTTTCTATTTTTTGTCATTGTTCTTTTTGTTGTTGTTGTTTTGTTTTGCTCTATCTTATTTTTTGTGCATATTATTATCTCTGTAAGTTTATCTAGATAAGATAGGCTGGATAAACAATCTGGAGGAGAAAACAAGGGGACTGATGGTTCCGGGAGGGATGTGGGAGAGAGGGAGGTGGGAGAAAGGAAGTGGTGTTACCAACCCAGGGACAAGGGAACAAGTGACCCAAAATCAGTAGCAAGGAGGGTATAAAAGGCCTGGTAGGGCTTGATCAAGGGCAATGTGACTGGGAAGAATTACTGAAACCCAAATGAAGGCTGAGCATGATAGTGGGACAAGAGGAAAGTAAAAGGAAGTAGAGGAAAGAACTAGGAGGCAAAGGGCATTTATAGAAGTCTAAATACAGGCATGTCCATGTGTAAATATACTTATATATGATGATGGGGAAATAGATCTATGTGCATATATTTATAGGTTTAGTATTAAGGTAGCAGACGGAGATTGGGCCTCCACTCAAGTACTCCCTCAATACAAGAACACTTTGCTCGATTAAACAGACATTCCATGACACCCACCTTCCCAACAGGATCGCTGACGACAAATGTGTGCATAAGCAAATGTCGTGAAGAAAAGCTGATGGTGCCTGGCTATCAAAGGACATAGCGCCTGGGGTCTTAAAGGCTTGAAGATAAACAAGTGGCCATAGAGCTCAGAAGCAACAAAGTCCACATGGAAAAAGCACGCCAGCCTGTGTGATCACTAGCTGTTGAAGGGATCAGGTAACAGACACCAAAGAACAAAAAAATCTTATCATTGTGAATGAGGTGGGGGGTGCAGATTGGGGACCCAAAGCCCATCTGTGGGCAACCGGACATTCCCTTTCAGAAGGGTCGCAGGGAGGAGTTGAGCCAGTCAGGGTGCAGTGTAGCAATGATGGAACATACAATTTTCCTCTAGTTCTTTAATGCTTCCTCCCCAACCCCGACTATCATGATCCCAACTCTACCTTACAAATCTGGCTAGACCAGAATATGTACACTGAAACAGACAGGAACTGGAAACACAGGGAATCCAGGACAGAAGATCCCTTCAGGGCCAGTGGTGAGAGTGGCGATACCGAGAGGGTAGAGGGAAGGTGGGGGAGGAAGGGGGAACCGATTACAAGGATCTACATATAAGCCCCTCCCTGGGGGATGGACAACAGAAAAGTGGGTGAAAGGAGACATCAGACAGTGTAAGATATGACAAAATAATAATTTATAAATTATCAAGGGTTCATGAAGAAGGGGTGAGCGGGGAGGGAGGGGGAAAACTGAGTAGCTGAAACCAAGGGTTTAAGTAGAAAGCAAATGTTTTGAGAATGATGAGGGCAACAAATGTACAAATGTACTTGACACAATGGATGCATGTATGAGGGCAACAAATGTACAAATGTACTTGACACAATGGATGCATGTATGGATTGTGATACGAGTTGTATGAGCCCCCAATACAATGATTAAAAAAAAAAGATCACAATGGATGCATGTATGGATTGTGATACGGGTTGTATGAGCCCCCAATACAATGATTAAAAAAAAAAATGATCCAGAGACTTGAGACCAGACTAGATTTACCTACTTCTGCAGCTGTATGAACCATTTTCTTGTTTTAAGTTTCTGCGCGCGCGCATATGTGTGTGTGTGTGTGTGTGAGAGAGAGAGAGAGAGAGAGAGAGCGGCAGAGAGAGAGAGATTTGCTTCTCTGGATAGATAACCCAGCTCAAACCACCCCCAAGACAGGGGTCACGAAGCCTCACCAGACTGGCAGTTTTCTAACAAAACCAACCACGGCGCTGTCTTTCAGGACTGCTTTGCCCACACTGGCTGCTCAGTGAAAGCACCTATCTCAAAGGCATGGCCACCGCCCCCCCCACTTTCCGAGGGTGGCTCCTAATGTCAGCCCTTACCACCTAGGTATCACAGCCAGACAAATAACCCCCACGGAACAGATCACATAAGATTATATAGGCCTACCATGGAGAGTATTATTTAAATGACAGTACATAAACAGAACAGCTTGTACAGGCATTACACTGGATCCTGAGCTAATCTGAAAGATGACGCGAAGAAGCAAAGTAAACTCACCTGACTCTTGGAGCCACAACCAGAATAAAAAACGTAAAATTGTGCAGGAAAACACGGTTCGGACAGGTCACCGAGGATGGATGACTTTTCTTTGTATTTTCCACATTTTTGAAATTAATTTCTAGTATTTTTTACATGGAAACCGGAAAACATTTTTATTTTCCCAAAAGACTACTACTTAAAAACATCAGACACAAAAGGGCAAACCTGGAGATTTTGAACTCAATGCCCCAGTTCCCACACATGGGCAAGGCCCAGCAGGGGCAGAGGTCCCAAGTCTCAGGGGGTGTCCGGAGAAGGGCTTGGGAAGAAGCCCCCTTTCGGGAACCTGATCTTACACTGCTCATGCCACACGAGTCTCTACGTATGTGCTCATCTTCTCAGGTGACTGCAGAGCGCAAGGCAGAAGACTGACCTCTGGGAGACTGTAGGTTTTCTGGAACTGGGATATGGAGTAGGAGCGGATGTAGTCTCCCATCTCTTCTTTTGTCTCTATGGCTCGCTTCACCAGCCACTAAAAAGGAAAGTTGGACAACGTGAGCTGGTCAGTATGAAATCCCACAGCAATGAATGCCAACTCAGAGGGCACAATTTGTGAATCCAAATCACTGTTCTCAACTGGCGAGAAATGCCAAACATACTTAATGAGAAAGCAACTGGCTAGACATTTGAGATGTGAAGGCCCAGCCAGCCCTGGTGCTGAGCAGCTGTGCAGGGGCTGGACATGCTCACTGTATAGCCTCAGGGCTCAGTGCCCTTCTTGGCCAAGTGGAGGCCAGCATTTGAGTCCCTTCCACCTGACAAGCTGCTGCTGCAAGAGCAAATGCAGTCAAAGTGCTCTGGAAACACCTGAAGCACAATGCATCCACGAGACCCAGAGGCATCTCTTAGAGTGAACCTCTTTCCTGTACTGCTAACGGAAACCAGAGAAAGGGGAGCAAATATAATTCTAGGCTTGATAGGTTAAAAAGATCCCCAAAATACTAAGAATTAAAAAACATGTCCACACTCTCTAAGTCTCGTTGTATTCTCTGTAAGTCTCACAACATTATGGTACTGGTCATGCTTTATAGAAGCTGAGCTCGGAGAAACTGTGCAATTTCCCCACTGATTTAGAGCTAGCAAGCCCTCAGACTAGTAGTCACAGCCTGATTCTCTGAACCAGGGGTCCTCAAACTGCGGCCCGCCAAGGACATTTATCCGGCCCGCCGGGTGTTTGTGCCCCCTGTATTTTTACTTCAAAATAAGATATATGCAGTGTGCATAGGAATTTGTTCATAGTTTTTTTTTTAAACTGTAGTCTGGCCCTCCAACAGGTCTGAGGGACAGTGAACTGGCTCCCTGTTTAAAAAGTGAGGATCCCTGCTCTGAACCATAAGACTGACAAATGGGATTATCAAATGTTTTCCAGCATTGTGGGGCTGATACACATCCTTAAAATGAGCTGCTTCTCACTTGTCCTATTTAAAATGCACACCTATGTAAAACAAACGTTAAAGAGTCTGTTAAGTGTGTGTATTACACTCGTGCTTGCACACATTCACCACCATGTACAAAAGACCCAGGTGCACTGAGTGTGAAAAAGTGAAGTCCAACATCTTCTGACGCCTCTCCATTCTACTTGTTTCTGAAAACACTTATCAAGCACTGAGCGGTGCAATGGTTAAGCACTTGGCTGCCAACTGAAAGGTCATGATTACAACTCACCAGCCGCTGCAAGAAGAAACAGGTCTCAGCTTGTTTCCCTAAAGATTCTAGCTTTAGAAGCCCACTGGTTGCTATGAGCTGGAATTACCTGGACGGCCATTGGTGTTAGGACATCTCAGCACTAGACCCAAGGGTAAGAGAAGTAGTTTTTAACACTGAGAATCCAGAAAAATATCTGAAAGCTCCTGGATATCCACCGCCAAGCAGTCTTTCTTTCCTCCTAAGAGGTAATAATCCCTAACGCATGCTTCCACTCATCATGTCTCTATCACTGCGGGAGAACTAGAGAGGAGGCTTCCTACTCCCCAAATGAGTTACGGTCCCGGAAACTCACAGGGGCATTTATACTCTGTCTTCTAGCAACTGACTTGGTGGTCATGAGTTATTTTGGTACATCAATGCCTGTCCACATTCATACTTGCCAATGAGCCCTGGGCTGGTAGCCACAAGGTCAGCAGACCAAACTGACCAGCTGCTCCTTGGAAGAGAGATGAAGCTGTGCGTAGGGTCACTGTAAGTCAGAATTCATTTGATGGCAGTGGGTTTGCTCTGGGGTATACGCTTTCGCTACCTATTGTATAAAATATATTTTCTTATTTGGCATGTTCTTAAATTTTGTATTGAAAGGTGGTTTCAATTACTAATGGACGTTTGGGGAGTTTCTGGTTTGCTGATATTTTTACAAACTCTACTGCTAGCAGCATTGTTGCCTGAGCCTCTTGGTACCCCAGAGGCAGAGCTTCTCCGTGGGAAGCAGAGAAAAGGGGCTTCTGGCTGAGAGGTCCACACATCTTCAATGTCACCACCAAATGAAGCCCACTGCCAACAAGTCAATTCCAATTCAGAGACCTTGCAGGATGGAGCAGAACTGCCCCGCTGAGTTTCAAGACTGAATCTTTATGGGAGCAGACATGATCGACTTTCTCCCAGAGCGGCTGACGGCTGTGAAGAGCTGACCGGCTGGGCTGGGCTTCCCAGTGTTGGCACTTCGATGCCATCATCCTCCGTGATGAAATCTAGGACAGTGGTCCCCTCCATGAACACAGCAGTTATGGGTAGCCAGTCAACTGCAAGGGATTTTCTTGTGAGTGCGGTCTGCTTTGAATCTATGCAGACAAAGCTCTCTTGCTTTCTGTACTAACTTGTCATCTGGCCTTTGCTCTTTTGACTTAAGCCAATGGCCTGTCATACTGACTGCCAATCCTGGGAGCCACTAGCCTCTCTAGTCTGGGAGTCATCAGCCTGCCCTGTTACCTGCCAACCTTGGATTCATTCCAGTCTTCTCTCTGGTCTGCCAATCTTGGCTTCGTCAGCTTCTGAAGTTAGGGGAGCCAGAAGAAACTTTCAGTCTGACACCTGGCCCACAGATTTGGAGCTTGTCAGCTCTACAACTGTGTGAGCCATTTCCTTGCGATAAATCTCTGTATACACTGAAGACTGAGAAGTGGCAGCAGAACCAGGAGACTGGTGGCAGGCTTCACAACAGGCTTCCTGAATGGTGGAAGGACAGTGCAGTGCTATTGGGCCAAGGTTTACTGGTAGGATGGGGGGGGGGGGGCCCTCTGGGCATGTACCAGTGTAACTAATAACTTTTTAAACACTTGCCCAAGGAGGGCAGAGACCCAAAGGAGCCTGTCCTGAGGGGTCAGGAGAAGATCTGTCTCCAAGGGGATATACCCAGCAGAAAGGCGTTTGTTTACACAGGGAAGAAGAGATAAGAGATCCGTCTTACACTGGAGGGAGGGACATACTCACCACTTCAGGAGCCTTCCAGACCTTGCCCTACATGCTCCTGAGCCCAAGGTGCACCTGTTACTTCCTTAACAAAGCTCAGAATCATGAATATCACTTGTGAGTTCTGCACCAAAGAGAGGAGCCAAGACTGGGAGGGCAGCTGGTGGAAAGTGAAGAAAGGCTGCTAAATGGAGCTCTCTCTGCTCTCCATCTCACAGAGGCTACACTGAGCTGAAGCCAATCTTGATTCTGTCTCCTCAAGTTCGGAGGAAGTCTGATGTCCATTATAATTTTATATTTACCTCACTGCTGTCAGTCAATTCTGACTCACGGTGCCCTACAGGACAGGACAGAACTGCCCCTGCGCGTTCCTGAGACTAACTCTTTCTGGGAATTTATTTATAATAAATCTTTATGGCAGTGCTCAGAATAGAAAGCCCCGTCTTTCTCCACTGGAGCGGCTGACGGTTTCAAACTATTGACCTTGTGGTTGGCCCCCACTGTGCAACCCACTGTGCCATTTTTATAGGGCTCCTTTACTCTGAGGCTGGTGGCTACATGGATTTGTTCTCAAGATATGAAAGCAACAGCAAGGCAGGAGGGAGTTTTAAAATGTCCTTAGCCAGCCAATAGAGGTGCAATTCTAGGACAGCCTCTCATTTTAGGCTCGAACGTGTTATAAGTGCGTGAAATTAAGGAATCTTGTACCCACTTGCCTACACCGGAAACGTGTCCAGACAAGAGCTGCTCCAGGGTTCTACTCACAATGTTGAGCACCTGTACAGGTTGAAAACACCCAAGCTGACTGTAGTCACATATACCCTTTTCTCATATCTGGACCCAAGTTTTTGCCACCCCCCCACCCTCCCTCACCCCCCACCTAAATTCTTGTGTACCGTTGAGTAAGTCTAATCTCCAGAGATTCAGAGTTCAGGGAAAGGATAACAACGTCACAGCATGATGTTGTTGGGGGTTGAGCAATGATCAGCACAGGGTCTCTGCTCCTCATTTTCACACAACAGGACCAGGTTCCACCTCCCATTAACAAATTCTGACAAATTTAACGCTCCTAAAACGAACTCGATGGCTCAGGCTTAAGTCTAGTGCAGGGAAAGAGTACCAGCAACAGCAGAAAAGCAGCAGGTACGCATACCTACAACGTCCTGACGAAATGTGCGGTCCTTCAGGTAAGTGCTTACTACACAGGAATGTGCATTTCCCTCGCTCCAAACAGACCCAACTACTGCTGCCGTTTAGTAGATGGGAAGTCACTCGACCAAGGTCACGGAGCTAGAAAGTGACAGCTGGGCTGTGTCTCAGGAAACCATGTTCTCCACAATTCCAACACAATGCAATCTTAACATAGAATTGTTCCCCCTCTTTCTCAGTGGCTGCACAAATGGCAAATGGGCACACCCAAAGCTGAGAGACGGGAGTTTAGACGGTGATCTTCTTGTCAGCTTCTCCATTCGGCAACTTCCTGACACTTCCTCTGAGTCTCACATTTTAGAATCAGATGCTTCAAAGACATCACACAGCAGGCAACACAGATACATCTCTTTACTTCTCTTCAGTCAAGGTTCCTAGAGGTGAAGCTCAGACACAGCGACTGCAGACTCGAGGTGGAGAGAGTGCAGGAGCCCTGATTACAGCGGCTCAGGAAACAGCTGGGGTGGAGCTGTCTCGCCCATTAGAGAGTAAAACGTCAAATGAGTATTGGACACCTACAAAGGACTAGATGCTGGGATTTGAACCTAGAAAGTCTCAGGAAACCATGTTTTTATCTCCAACTAAGCGCTGCAGACACAACAGTAAGTAAGACAGCCATAGTGCCCGAACTCATGAAGCTTTCAGTCTGAAGGCAGAAACAGATACTTAAATAAGTGAATATAAACAGTCAAACTGCATGAGGAGGATTGCTGTGGAAGTACTTTTATGTATGGACACAGAAAATTTGCCTGTTCTAGATGAGGAAGCCAGGGAAGGTCTCCTAGAGCAGGTTTGGCGGAGCTAATAGACCTAGAGAAAGAATATAAAGTAGGCAATTAAGGAAGGCGAGAGCGAACACTCCAGCACAGGAACCAGCACCTGCAAAGCCTCCAGAGAGGAGGAAACAGCACATGGCAATGTCTGTGGGGCTCGAATAGCCAGAACAAAGTCCACGCACGACGAGTGGACAGACTGGAAGGGACCAGAGCATGCAGGGCAATGAAAAGCCACGATGGGACACTGGAAATCCCTAAGTGACAGCGTAAACCCAGGGAAGGCATCAGGAAACCTCGCATCTTCTGCTCTCACCAAATCCACACACACCTACCAGACACGGGACCAGGCCAGGGGCCGAGGGGCCCATAGGGATTCTGATGTGCAGAGGACAAGACCCCACACAGACTCTCACCTGAACAACAGGAAATATGTGGATAAAGTCCATGCCCTGGATCTGGTGGGGCTCCAGCTGGTGTGGGCATTTCATCCTTGGCAGGACTGACACGATTTTTTCTGAGAGAGCTCTGTTCAGAAATGACAACAAGCAGAGAGTTGAGCGCATTTAAATAGCTCTTAAGACCTCTCAAAGTCCGGACGCCATCCCAGCAGAACCTTGGCTTCTCAATGCCAGTGCCCCACCAGGACTACATCTTTCCTGGCTGACCAAAACAGAGAAAAACAAGCCCAATTTAGATGTGTAGGTGTCAGGCCATCCAACTGATGTTATTTTTAAATGATGTTTTTTGTTTACATACTTGTTTCTCTGTACTAGTGCAAATTTCTTGCGTTTTTTTATTGTTGGTGTTTTATAGCGAGATTTCTTCCATTCATTTGCCTTCCCCTTTAGTGACTGACTGACTCACCCTTTTGCTTCCCACCACTGGTTGCCTCAAGGAATATTCCTGGTAGTGTGAAAACTTTTCCTTGCCTTTGTCATAGTGATCTCATATGGTATCTGCCCCTGAGTGACCACGTAATTTCATTCAGGTTAATATTCCCCAAGTTCATCTACATTACAAGGTGTCTTGAAGACTCATCATTATTCTCTAACGTTGTGTGGTATACCACCAGAGTCTGTGTATCCACGCTTCACTGGGACTCGTGCTGTGATGACTATGGTTCTCCTCGGCATAGGACAGAGCTTCAGAAAATTCATGACTCAGCTTCTAAGTCAATTGTTAAAAAACTTTTTGCAATAAGATTAGATCCAAAGATTTGCAGTTATATTTTCTTCTTTTGAAAAACAGCATTTTATTTTAGGTGAAAATATGTTTAGCAAAACATGACCCTATTGGACCATTTCTACACACCATGTTCAGTAACGGTACATTCGTGACGTTGTGTCAACATTCTTCTTGTATTACTCTAATTGTATCACTTTCATTAACTTCATCTTGCTGCTCCCCAACTTCTCCTCTATGCTTTACATCAGCGGTTCTCAACCTGTGGGTTGACCCCCTTTAAGGGTCGAATAACCTTTCACAGGGGTGTCTGATACATAACAGTAGCAAAATTACAGTTATGAAGTAGCAACAACAATAATGTTATGGTTGGGGGGGGTCACTACAACATGAGGAACTGCATTAAAGGGTCGTGGCATTAGGAAGGTTGAGAACCACTGCTTTATATGAACTGTTGTCCACTTTGGTCTCATACAGATCATTCTAAAAAAAGGTTTATTGACACATAATTCAGAACATACAATTCAGTGGCTTAAATATATTTAAAAGTTTTGTCACCACAATTTTAGAACATTAACTTCATTCTTGTATTCACTGATCGCTCACTTCCCCCAACCCCTCTCCTGCCACAATTCTAAGAAATGGTTAATCTAGTTACTGTCTCTAGTTTTACCTATCCTGACTTTCATACATAGAAAATCCTAGCAAAACAAGAACAAAAAAATAAAACACAGAAAATCCTCAATCCAAAAGAATGCAGAAAATAATAAAAACTAGAACAAGTTAAAAATGAATCAAAGGGGTAAACAAATGGTAAGATACTACATTTTAACCTAACTCTATTTGTAGGAATCTACTTTCCCAAACACTCTGAGGACAGGGCTGTTCACATGCCTGGTGAGTGGACTGAGGGAATTCAGTAGAAGCTGAATCCATGACAGCTTTGCAAATGGATGTTGGGCTTTCACTGCCTTCAGATTGGCAGTAATTTTCAGTGTGCTAGTAGGATCCCTGGTGGTTATGCATTGGCTTGTTAGCCACAAGGTCAGTAGTTTGAAACAACCATATAATAAAGAATCATCATATCCATTCACAAATGCCCAAAATATTACGATAAGTTAAATTTGTTAATTCCTGGAGCTCACAGTATGCCAGAAGACAGGCAAATAAATGATGGCAACACACTTACAACCATTAAGACGAGGGACTCACACAGGTCCTGCCTGAAAGAACATACAATCTTTCTCTGTAAGACTCAGGGCCTCATGCTAAAATAAATTTGGAGTTTTCTACTTTGGGCACAGAAATATTTAAAAAATAATTTGTAGCCTTAAGCTTTTTAAAAATTAATATATTCTACAATCAATTCTGGATTTTGGAAAACCATGCATCCTCACTGTTATTTTCAGAGAGGAGACATGCTTTGCCTCTCAAGAGACACGGACTTCTCTCTAGCACCTGGCCTCAGCCCTCCTACGGACTAGCTGGACTTGGGGAGGATAAACTGGGCTCCATAAGACCCAAGATCATACCTACGGGTCAACAGGCATCTCCCACCTGAGCCTCCCTCAGCCCCAATGGAAAGTTTTCCAGCTCAGTGTGGGAATAGGAGGGGCACTGTCATGGCGGGTGAACTTATGTGCAAATCTGTTTCAATACAGATTTAAGCCCCATTCTCTGATAATGGGTCTCCACCTGGTTGGCTCTCTTATTTTACATGTTACTTGGATCAGATCAGAAAACATGAGCTATTTAATGGGTCTGCTAAACCCTAGATCCATGCTACCCATACTGGGAACCTTGACAAACAATGCGGAATGACCCTGAGGGACCAGGAAGAACTGAGGACCCTGAAGAAATGAGTCAGTTGCACATGCAGTTTGGTTCTATGTGATGCCAGACCCTTTTATAAAACTTAACCTGTTAGAGCAACTAGCTGGGACCCAATTTGTAAGTGCAGGGTAATTTCCTAATAGACGAAGGCCATGGTGCACAAGGCGGCACTACATAGGTCTTAGCTACAAGGAGCTCATGTGGGTTCTGTTGAGAGGGCAGAAAAAGATGACCCTGATGTACTGTACCCTGCCCAACACGGCAACTCCCATACTGACCAACTCCCATACTGAACTCCCATACTCCCATACTGACCAACTCCCATACTGAACTCCCATACTCCCATACTGACCAACTCCCACACTAACCAACTCCCATACTGACCAACTCCCATACTGAACTCCCATACTCCCATACTGAACTCCCATACTCCCATACTGAAGCGGCTGTCCTACACCTATGTCGCTGTCCTGAAACCCATGTCAGGGTCGGGGTGGGGGCTGAAGGGGACAGGACTTTTGTAGAAGAGTCTTAGCTTTGAATATTCCAAATTATGAGGGGATACCTGCCCACAAAAATGTCTGTAAAGTTTTTTCAAAGATATGTGCTTAAATTTTCTTACAGAACAACCTGTCACCTTCAAAGTACTCTCATTACACTTACTACATTTGTCAAATCTGCAATTCCATTGCTGGAAACATTTTTCTTTCTTTCTTTTTTTTTTTTATAAGGGGGTTTCGGGCAGATCGCAACACCCAGGCATCCCGCAAAGTAGGCGGGTCACCGTAGGGGCAACCTTTACCCGCTCAAAAATTCGTCTCACATTAGCAGTGAGGATCCGGGCGTCACCCCGGATCGTTAATTTCCTTACTCATAAGTTTAAGGCATTGGAAGCATTTTTCAAACTCATCTGTTTGGATGACTGATAGCACTTCCCTCCTTTTTTTCCTTCACCTGTTCCAAGTCATCAAATCGCTGTCCTTTCATGTCCCTCTTCATTCGAGGAAACAAAAAGAAGTCCCACAGAGCGAGGTCAGGTGAGTAAGGTGTGTAGGACAAGAGAGGCATGCTGTTTTTTGCCAAAAACTTGTGCACCGAGATGGCTGCACGAATAGGTACATTGTCTTGGTGGCAAAACCAGTCCCGCATCTGACACAAATCAGACCTTTCTGTCATACACGGTTATCGTTTCAGAACCTCCAAATAGAAAGCTTGATTAACAGTCTGACTTGCTGGAATGAACTCCAAATGCACTACGAGTCCACATTTTCATCCTTTTGGGAAGTTGATGACATCCAGAAGGAGGTTTATCATCAATCAACATTTCACCTGTTTTGAAATGAGAAAACCACTTGTACACTTGAGATTTTCCCATAGCATTGTCCTTTTAAGCTGTGTTCCACATCCAAATAGTTTCTGCGGTATTTTTCCCAAATAGGAAACAAAATTTCATAGCCGAACTCTGTTCTCTTAAATCAACCATCACAAAAAAAGATTGGAATAAAATTGCTTGTATAAAAAAATTCACTGTGACCGGAGAGAACCTTCCCAATCAATGCCACTGGATGCACTAATTCTGAGCAAATTGCTCGATGCTCACCTAGCGGGAAAAATACATTTGATGAAAACTCCACCTAGTAGAGCTTTTTTCATTTTGGGGGTACCCTCTCATATATGTGCCCAACAAAAGACCCTCAAAATTCGTCAACCGAATCCTCAAAGAGATGAAAAGAGCAATTACCGCATCAACAATTATAGTATGTGATTTCAATACACTACTCTCAAAGAAAGATAGAACAACAGGTAAGAAACTCAATAAAGAAACTGAAGACCTAAACAGCACAATTAAACAACTCAACATAATAGACATTTTCTGGTGCACTGCAACCAAAAGTTAAAAAAATACACATTCTTCTCCAATACACCTGGCTCATACTCAAAAACAGACCATATGCTCGAGAAAATTCACACACTGCGATCTCCTTCAGACCACCTTGTCTGACCACTGTGCCATCGAGTTGGAAAATAACCATAAAGAACAAAAACAAAGACAAACACCCGGTGACTTAATAACACCGTTCTCAAAAAATCAATGGGTATTAATTAACCCAAATAAGAGAGGAAGTTAAGAAGTTCCTAGAAACCAATAAGAAGGGCAGTACAGCATACCAAAACCTATGGGACACACCCAAAGCAGTTATCTGAAGTAATCTTATTGCAATAAAGGAACACATGAAAAAAGAGAGACCAGTGTCGTTAGCACCTTAACTCAGCACTTCCAACAGCTAAAACAGAGCCAACAGCACAATCCTTCAAACAGTAAAAGAAATCATAAAAATCAACAGAGCAAAAAGCTGGTTCTTCAAAAGGGGTCCACGATAGGATTGCTGGAAACAACAGAGGAGTCTGCAGAGTAGTAGGTTACAAGATTAACAAGCAGAAATCAATTGGATAGACCAGCGATGGGAATGCAGGAAAAGGTATCGGGGAATCAGTACCGTTCACAATAGCCGCACAACAGCTGAAGTAGCTAGGAATAGGCTGAAGTAGCTCCGTACAAAGAAAACTACAGAACATGAGCCCAAAAGGGATCTACACAAAGCAATCCACAAATCCTAGAGCCATCTATAAATCCAATGCGATCTCGACCCAACTTCCAGCATTATTCTTCAAAGAAATGGAAAAACTGATGACCAACTTCATATAGAAAGGGAAAAAACCCACAAAAGGCATAGAACTCCTCAAGAAAAAGAATACAGTAGTTGGCCTTGCACTACCTGACCTTGAAACCTCCTACACAGCCAGTGGTCAAAACAGTCTAGTACTGGTATAATGACTGAGACTTGAACCTATGGACCAGAACAGAAAACCCAGATATAAAAACATCTGCATACAGAAACTTTATTTTTGACAAAGGCTCCACAAAACATTCAATGGGAAGCAGATGCCCTCTTCAATCAATGGTGTTGGAAAAGTGGATACCCACCTGCAGAAGAATGAGACAAGATCCACACCTCACTCCACACACAAAAACAAACTCAAGGTGGATCAAAGACCTAAATGTAAAACCCAAAGTTATCAGGATCATCAGGGAGAAAATTGGGACAAAGCTCGGAGCCCTAGTGCAGGGAATGCACAGGCTGTCAGAAATAACAAAGGAAACTCACACTCCGGGGAAGATAAAATAGATGAATGCGACCTATTAAAAATAAAACCCTGTGTACATTCAAAGACTTTATTAAAAGAGTGAATAGAGATCCCGCAGGCTGGGAAACGATATTTAGTAACGAACTAACGGACAAAGGATTCATTACGAAGATCTGCAGAATGTTACAAGGTTACTAATAGCCCTCTGAGAAGGTGGGCAAAGGACCTGAACAGCCGATTCTCAGAGGATGAAGCTCGAATGGCTCATAAACACAGAAGGAAATGCTCCCAGTCATCAGCCACCAGGAAATGCAGGTCAAAAGCAACAACGATACACCACCTAAGGCCCATTCCTGTAGCCCAAGTTTAGAATACAGAGAACAAATGTTGGAGAGGGTGTGGTGAGAGAGCAACTCTCATCCATCACTGGTGGACTTGTAAATAGCTACAGCCACTGTGGAAGGGGATAGGGCGATACTTAAAACAGAAGGCAATTGAACTACCATATGACCCAGCAGTACCATTATTGGGTATATACACCAAAGAAATAAAGAGATCATGAAGAGACGCTTGCTCCCCCATGTGCATTGCAGCACAGTTCACAATAGCAAGAAGCTAGAAACAGCCTCAATTCCCATCAATAGAAAAGTGGATAAAAAAACTCGGGTACATACACACATGGGAATACTACACATCCCTCAACAACAGCAATGAACCCATGAAACTCCCAAGACGTGGAAGGATCTGGATGACTGTATGCTGAGTGAAGTCAGTCAAGCACAAAGGACTAATACTGTCTGAGTCCACTGTAGTAGGTAGAGCAGCAAAACGGGTACAAGATCAAGCTTACATGCCATCCAGTTTTCTGGTAACGAGCTTCACCAGTGCCAATGAACCACACATCAGCCATTCCTGGTTAAGTATAGTGTAGGTCACTTGGCCGGAGGGCACCTCACAACCACTGTGATCACACGGTTAGGGAAAGGGGGCGGTGCTGTTTGCTGAGTGGTAGCCAGGTGGATCTGGGGTGAGGTCTCCCAGAGAGGGAGACAGTCCTGTCAGAGGGATGAGGCTTACTGATGGGAGGGGCAGCCTAAGGGAGGGGAGAGGAAATGGTCAAATTTGGGCTATCATAGGTACATGTCTGTTGTGGAGAGGGGAGGGCGAGCTGACCTCCAGGTGGGGAGGAGAGACTGCGGAAGCCCTTGGGATCTTTAGTGGAGTGCAGCATTGACGTAGGGGGTCTGGGAGTATCCCAGGAGCCAGGCCAGGGCCACAGAACATTGAATCCTGGATCTTCAGGGTGCCTGTCATACTTGAGGCTGTGTTGGTGAGACCCCTAATGGGAATTCTACCTGGAGAACTGGACTCTACCCCAGACACACTTGTAACCTGAGGACTTAGCTGGAAACCACACTGTGGCTGAGGTAGCAAAAGACAGCTGTACCAAGAGCAGTGCACTCTTGGTTAGCGAACAAAGTCTTGGTACGTCAATGCCCTGCATGCTGTATGAAGATAGGTATTACCCCAGCAATCCTGTGACGACCATTCTGTTATATTCTGCTTATGCGCATCTATATTAGGGTATATCTCAGGGGTGCATTGCCACTGGGGCTCTTGAAGCTGTGTGATTTGTTGCTTTATTTTTCCATAAATGAAGCCCAGCGATGTTGATCCTATATGGAAAGAAACTGTAACAAGGATTTGGGGGAAGGGGAATGTAGAGATGTGGAGAAGATAAGGAGGAGATGACGTCAAGAAGTCCAGGAAGGAAAAGTATGATTTGGAGAACAAATATGCTTATGGAAGAAATTGCACGATTATGTTTGACATGATTGAATTATGGAATGATATGACAATATGTAATGGGCTCTGAAGTTACAGCAAATTAAAAAACAACAACAAACAAACACAGATCCAGGAACGGCTTTTGGGCTTGCACTAAATCCCAGCTCCAACTTAAGAACCATCGTTTCTTACATCATGGCCCTGCTGCATACTCACGTTCACAAAATGACCACTGAAGATAAGGGCTACGGTAAAGTGTGGTGAAGAAAGCAGATTTTGCCCAGCTATCAATTGGAATAGTGTCTGGGGTCTTAACGGCTTGTATTTAAATAAGCAGCCACCTAAGTGAGGAATCACCTAAGTCCACAGGAAGAAGCTCACAACATTCGGATATGGTGAGGAGAATAGCATCAGAGCAAAAATTATAACCACCCAATTTGTGGAGGGCTAAGGGGGGCGGGGGGCACCCAAAACCTATCTGCAGAATATCTAGCCAGGCTGAACCACTGGCAGATCAGCTCCAGCAAGAGGCAAGAGTCTCGAACAATCTTAATGACAAGTAGAGACCATTGTAATCTTGATTATGTGGGACTGACCTTGATACTTGGCCAGTTGAAGGGACCTGAATTTGTTCTGGGTTTAAATATCTCTTACTGGTTCCATCACAGAAATTTCTTCCTTGGCTTTTTGAACGTTGTTGGGGGTCTAAAAGCCTTCTTACACGTTATTTGTATTTTTGTCTGTATACTATTATGTTTTATCCTTACCACCTTAGCGCAATGCTGTTTTTTGTTTTCTGTTGGGTTCCCAGCTGTGAAGCACAGGAGTGGGTGCATGAGGAGGACAACTGATACAGGGGATATAGGGAATACAGGGGTGCGGGGTAGATGAGAAGGAGGGAATGGGGATCCCGGGGTAAAGAGTGAAGACAGGAGTAGAGGAAGCACTAGAATGGGTTGTGATTGCATAACTCATCTTAGAGGTGATTTAGCCATGGGAGGGGGGAACGCTCGAAAATTCATGTGGGGGTGATTGTACAATTCTTCTTGATAAGATTGAATGACTTAACTATTGAATTACATGATATGTAAATTACTTGCCAGGTAAAAAAGAAAATGAGAAAAAAACCTGAATATTAAATGACTCATATACTAGCTACATGACCTTGGCTGCCCCTTGGCTGCCCCAACTTCAGTTTCCTTAGCTGTAAACAAGGATGCCACCTGTTACGAGGAAAATTAAAATATCTAAATTATACAGCACAACGTCTGGCACACAGTAAACTCCTTTTCCCCATTTATCTTCCTCCATGGCAAACCCCATCACTTACATTTTCTGACCTATTGTAGAGTTTTCTTGAAAGAGTAAATCAACATCCACATCGAAGTTGCACGTGGTGATGCACCAAGTCATTCCTCCTACTACCTGCAAGACAGAAAGAATATGATTGTTTTTCCTTTCTAGTTTCAGGAGAGGGGGCGGGGAAGGCACATGAATTACAACTCGTTCTTTCAGACTCAGTAAACATCCAAGATTATTGATCGCTAAAGACTGAGAATGTGTTCACCTTACCCCATCAACTACAATTCACCTACACCAGCGGTTCTCAACCTGTGGGTCGTGACCCTTTGGGGGTCGAACGACCCTTTCACAGGGGTCACCTGATTCATAACAGTAGCAAAATGACAGTTATGAAGTAGCAAGGAAAATTATGTTATAGTTGGGGGGTCACCACAACATGAGGAACTGTATGAAAGGGTCCCGGCATGAGGAAGGTCGAGAACCACTGACTAAAGTAATGTTGTCCATTCAGACTGTCTGCAAAGATGAGCATGTTCTATGTCCGCTCTTTCCAACGCACGAGCTACTACTTACCCCGAGAGTTACTGAGCCCTGGAGAGGTGGCTGGTGTGACTGAGACTTTTACATTAGTTTTAATTAGTCCAACTAGCTACCATATTGGATTGTACAGAAAAAAAAAACACCACTTTGTACATGTCTGTTTAGCAATAAGCACTGGTTCATTCTGTGTTTCCTCTGGCCCAGCAAGAATGCTAAAGCACACAAGGAATGGGCGAGGAGAAAAAGAAACTCCAGGACATTAAACATTATACTGGGCGAGTGATACCTGAACTTTACCAGACGATTAAAAAGTATGCACCATTTCCTTTTTACAGAAGATAACACAAGCTCAAGAAGCTAAGCATCTGGTCCAAAGTTATCCAGCTCGTAGTACAAAGGGAAGAACTATTCTAATTCAGCTCCGGCTGACTTAGAGCCTAACTATATTAAGATAATTCAGATTTTTTTCTTCTCTCCCTCCTCACATACACAAATGAACGTGACCTAGTGGAACAGTGATTAAATCACTGCACAGAAGAAAAGATGTGGTCGTCTGCTTCTGCAACGATTTACAGACTTTGACACCCGAGGAGTAGCTCTATTCTAACGTACAGGGTCACTGTGAGTCAGATCCAATTGGGTAGCAATGGGTAGACACTAAACACTGGATTCCCTAAAGTCCGTAAGTACTGTGATTAAATGGACACGTCCTATCTAGATCCTCCTTACAGTACAGGAGTAAGACCATTCCTTCTCAGCTGAGAAGCCTCAGCCCAGTTGCAGGCAAGCAGCAGATTCCAGAGGAATTATGTGTTCTAGTGACCACACATGTGGACAGCCCAACTGCCAGTTTGAAGTTCACTACTTAATATTCGTATGTCTTATTTTCCCCATCTACTTACGGGAGATGAGAATCCCTGCTCTCTGCAGCTCACAGGATTTCTGAGATGCAAATGAGGCTTAACCTAACACTCCATCTCGAAACACATTCTCTGTCAGACACAGCTTGTTATTAGAAAAAGCAGCTATGCTTGATTGTGACTTAGGCTCATGAGCGTTACTTAATAAAAACAGATTCCAGGGCTTAATGAATCAGTTAGGAAGAAAAGGGAACATGGAAACAGATGAAAAATGATAAATGCTCTGTTTCCCTACACGGAGCTAATCATGCACTCCTCCCCCAAATGAGCCTAGTTAGTAGAAGGGCTTCTTCTTACCTTATCAAAAGGTGACAAGCCTTTAATTCTTGCTCGGAAATACCCAGCTGCAACCAAGAGTTCCAGAATTTCAGTCAACTTGACATTTTGTTCTTCATCTTCTCGTGTCTCCACCTAAAAGGTCAACAGTTCAGTGGTAAAACCTTGACCTTGTACACAAGACATACTTCACCGTCACAACTCAGCGCCAAAGACTATGTCACACAGTGTCGTCCGAGTCAGACCACCGGGTCTCCACCACCAGGGAGCGCTTAATGGTCATGGAAGGGGGAGCAGACAGATACAGGAACCCATACAGAAGATGACAGCGTATGGCCCCCTCCCCACCCCCGGTTCTCGAATCTATGGCTTGACACGCTTCTTGATTAAGTTATAAGCTCTTCCCAGACAAGCACAAGGTTTTCTGTATAACTTTGTGCCCATGCTGGTCCCAGATGTTACTAACAAAGGGAGCAGGAACAATGAAAATAACTCATCACCTCTTTGTATTTTCCTTTCTGATCTCAACGGATCAGGGCTGGTAACTGTCCCATAATAGCTGGTGTTGTCAGGCGCCGTCGAGTGGGTTGGACCCACAGTGACCCTGTGCACAACACAAGGAAACACTGCATGGCCCTTTGCCTTCTTCACAACTGTTCCTATGCCCGAGTTCACAGTTGCAGTCCCCACTTTACCAAGCATGATGTCCTTCTCCAGGGACTAACCTCTCCTGAAAATATGTTCAAAGTATGTAAACTAAAGTCTTGCCATCCTTGCCTCTAAGGAGGACTCTGGCTGTACTTCTTCCAAGAAAGATTGGTTTGTCCTTTTAGTAGTCTATGGTACTTTCACTATTCTTCTCCAGCATGACAATTCCAACGCATAGATTCTTCTTTAGTCTTCCTTATTCAACGTCCAACTTTCACATGCATAAGCGGCAACTAAAAAACCAGGACTAGGGTCAGGCATACCACAAACCTCAAAGTAACATCCTTGATTTTCAATACTCTAAAGAGGTGCTGTGTGGCAGATTTACCCACTGCAAGGGATCTTTTGGTCTCTTGACTGCTGCTTCCATGAGCATTGATTGTGGATCCAAGCAAGACAAAATCCTTGACAACTTCAATCTTTTTTCCATTCATCGGGATGTTACCTACTGGTGCTGCGGCAGTTACATAATCTCCTGTCAACTTGAGCAAAAGGGTGGAGTCTAGCCTGTCAATCAGGTCTAGTCAATGAGGCCTCTGGGTGGGCATGCTCTTCTGAAGATTCTGGAAACTCCTGTCTTCCTCCCTGGGAGGCGGAAAACATGCTCGCTCTGCTTCACATTCCATGGAGCTATGGTAAAGGCAGCCAGGGCCCTGGAGGTGGAGGAGCCACATGGAGACCCACGCCAGCGCTGAGGTGCTTCCACCGCCACTGGATCCATAAGACTTTCCACCCACTGACTATGAGTCAGAATGTTCTCACTGGCTGTAAGATGTTTACCTACTACTTAAATCCATTTAAATATCACGGTCATTTTGAATGTACTTGTTTTCTTTAACTGTACTTCTCCTGTACTATAGCAGAAAAATTGGAAACTAAAGCATCCTGATCCAAAGTCTTACTACTCCCTCACTCAATGATGCTTATTACATCTTCTTTTATCAGTAAATGATTAGCCCAGTAGGTTTGGGGCTGCCCAAACCTATACTTTTAAAAAGTCTTAAGAGACCAGCCCTTAACAGGCTTTTGGGAGATCAACTTTGAACCCATTAATACTTTCACTGATGATGTTTTTGTATACAAAGGAGCTTCAAAAAGTTCTTGGAAAAATGAAACATTGTCATAAATTTTTTGAAACTCCCCTCCCCTCCTCTGATCTTGTTAAGTGCTGTAGAACAGGTTTCGGTCAGGAATTCTCTGTACATGGAAGGAAACACTCTCAACTTTATCCATCATGTTGTCCTTGTAGCCGGCCACAGAGTTTATACCAATAATTTATTGGTGTCAAGAATTTATGGTCAATGCCTATTTGTACGGTCTTCAGTAAGAGTGGGGGGTCCAAGCACCCAAAGTCAGTCATGTAAGCACTGTGTGCCTATGACTGACCTCCAGTAAAAATCCTGGCACTAAGGCTTGCGTGAGCCTCTCTACTTGACAACAAGCACATTTTCATACATCACTGCTGGGAGAATAAAGTGCTGTCCAAATGACTCCATTGGGAGAGGACAGAAAGAAGGCCGAGTCTGGTCTCTCCTTGACTCTGCCCTTTAGGCTTTTGTCCTTTGCTGATTTTAATCTTTTGCTTTTAGGGGGGAAGTGGAGGGGGGGAATGGCACAATGTAATAAACTGTAACCATGAGTATAGCAGCTTTTCTAAGTTCTAAGAGGGTTTCTAGTGAATCGCTGGGTCATGGATACCCAAGACAACTATACATCTTCCATGTATTCTCTCTACTATGGCAACTTCCTCTCAATCTTTCTTCCCTGGTAGTCTGTCTTCAGTTTTCATTTGATCACTTCTTAGCTCATTCCAATCAATCATCTCCAATGCATCATAAATTCCAATTGTCTTGGTTTGACATCCAGTTCTTTGGCCCCAACTGATTTTCTCAGCTTCATCTCCCCTCAGAACAATCCAGACACCAGCATGGACACCCTACCCGAGCATTTTCCATTGGCATTTTTCACTGCTCACACAGGCCCCTTTCTCTTCCTCTTCTCTAACGATCCAGAAACCACATTCACACTTCAGCTCCTACCCAATGCCATTCCTGAAAATCAGGCTGAAATAGCCATGCCTCCGTCTGTGCCCTTCATACAATTAAGTATAAGTGACATGTCTCACGTCACCTACATGTCTGTCTTTCCAACTGAACTAGTTCCTGGTTCAGGAGGGAGCCCCTGGTTTAGTATTTTTTTTTACACATTTACACATCCATGTTTACACATCCATGTTTAGTCCTCTGCACCTAAACAGCATTTAGTTCAAGAGGAATATCTGTAACGATGTATGTAATCAACTCATTACATAAAGTACCTAAGTGTCAACCATGTAATAACCCTGGATTTTCAATCATGGCATTGATAGTGGAATGCTAAGTTTATTTTGAGATACAAACTGCCCAGGAGAAGAGGCATACACATATTAACATACAGCTGAATATGGAATTATTAGTGACTGGTAATCTTTTGAGATGGAAGGGAGATGATAGTCATAAGCCATTGCTCCTTTCATTTTTCTCTCCTTCAAATGATGCTACCTCAGCCTATCAAACACTCAGAAATTTTGCAAGCATTGTTCATGAGGATGTGCACCTCTCTTATGCAAATTATCTGGGGGATGGTTGAGAAATATCTTTAGATGGAGAGACTGAAAAAAAAATAATTAAGAAAAGTCAGTTAACAAAGATAGAAGAGGAAAACGGTACAATATTGCCTTCAAAACTCTTAGAGTGTCATAGATACTTGTGATTTATTCAATCATTGTTTCACACAGGAATCTCTGGGAGGAGATGGTAATAATATTTCATGAAAGCATTATCCTCATCCTCAACTCATCTAATAAGCCCTCACGGGCCCCACAGTAGCTCTACTGTCCACACTTGTCCCCTCACCCCAAGAATGGGGAAGTTTACTTGTGATGTTTGAAAAAACTCGTTGGCATGTGCCACGGTATGGAGTAAATTAATATGATTTCAAATTCACTTCACAGATTAACAATGAAACAAAATGGGAATGGACTAGGCAAACACACCTGGAATGAAAGAATAGCTACTCCGGAAGTCATAAAAAGCTACCAGACTAGTTAACACAAATTGCAAAAGAAATTCTGATAAAAACGAGTGACGGTGAGCCCTACAGCAGGCATAATACATCCTCAAATGCCCCATACCCGTTCCTGTAAACTGATATGCAAAACCATGTGTAATCCTGTTTCCATCCTTTACATATAGAGAGGGTTAATTTGAATTTAATGAATTAACTGGACTTTTGACAGCTTAATGACACAACTACCCACAATCATATGTACTGGTCTTTGAACTTAATAATCATAACAAAATTATATTCATCCTGAAAGTCTATTAGTTGCCAGACACCGTCTTACGAGCCCTGGTGGTGTAGTGGTTACTAATTGGAATTGGGCAGCTAACCAACAGGACAGCAGATGGAGGCCAGCAGCCACTCTCGAGGAGAAAGATGAGGCTTTTCTATTTCTCTAACGAGCTGCAGTCTCAGAAACTCACAGGGGTAGTTCTATGGTCACAATGAGTCAGAGCTGAATGGATGGCAGTGAGCTGGTGTTATTTTGAGTCTTAGGCAATGGAAAAAGTGACCGATCAGAAGCAGGCTCCTGGCAGTCAATGAAAGGGTACACAAAAGCCGAGACAGAAACAATTGCTTTTTATTTTAGAAAAAGTCTAGCACTGTGGAAAACTGGACTGAAGAGAGTGGAGGTAGATACCAAATAGAAGTTTAAAGTAAAAAAGCAGGCAAAAATGTGATAAGGGCCGGGGAAAAAGTGATTTAAAAAAAAAAAGAAAAAAGCTTCCAATCTGACAGTATAGAACTTGGCCTTCAAAATCCTGGATCCCATCAAGACATGTAAGGTTTGACTTAACGCAGGTGCTCTGACATGAGCTTTGTTAGGCTTTCTTAGCAATACATGGATTTGTCCTCTGGAACCATCAAGAGACAGATGTTTTTCTGACTCTGCCACCAGCTTCTGCACACTGAATGCATTTATATTCCGTGGGCATCTGAGATGAATGAAATCTCTGGGTAATGCTCAGTGGCTCACCAAAAGAATGGAGGTTCCCGTCCACCCGGATGTACCTCAAAAGAATGGCCTGACAAATGATCTGACACACCAGTCACCGACACCCTAGGGCGCGCAGTTCCACTGTGACATGGCAGAGGCCACCGTGCAATGCAGTGATTCCACTGTAATGACTTGAAGATCCGCGAGGGGCACCGAGAAGCAACTCCAGACACAATGAGATGGTGTGAAGCGACTACTCCCCGCGTCAAGTAATCAAACAACTGTCAGAAATGCCTACTTCAGAACCTACGGGCGGAGAATTGAGCTTGAGGTCCATTATTCTTAAAAATCGAGTAAAAGAGTGTCCTCAGTAAATTAACTGAAAGAGGAGGCAGATGCAACCAGGTAGTTAGTGATACTTGCGGCCGAAAGGAAGCGCACGTTGCCTTCATCCCAACCGCGGTGCAAACCTGGAGACACCCTAAGGAGAAGTCTGTCTAGGGTGGCATTCCCTCGGGGATGGGCCCCCTGGGCTCCGAGAGGCGGAGCCACTCGAGGTCACCGCCCTTTGCACAGCGGCGCCCAGGCCGGCGCTGCGCGTCCCGTGACTCGTGGGCGCGGCATCTTCGGGCCTCGGGGGAGTCGGCAGGGGGAAGACGTCCCCGGGGACCCGCCAGGTGGGTGCCCCGAGCCCTCGGCTCCTTGGCCGGCGTCAGGGCACGCGCCCCGCTGGGCAGGTCCTCTCCCTCAGGAGACGGGGGTGGATGTGGTGAGGCCCCACCCACCCAGGGGCCACCCACCCCGGGGCCACCCAGCAGCAGGGTGACGGGCCCTCGCCGCCAACCTGCAGACACACCTACGGAAGGGGGCGGGGCGCCTGCAAACGCAGCGCCCCGAGTTGGGCCCTCTCCCCAGAAATGCCCACTGGCCCGAGCGGTGCCGGGGGGTGGGGGGGTCCTTACCTCCGGGACGCTCTGGTCGTCCGGCCCCTTGGGGAGCCCCATGGTCCGGGGGGGCTGGCAGGCGGCGGGAGCTAGGCCGGCAGGGTGGAGGAAGCGGTCCCCGGCGGAGGAGCTGCTACCGGGGCGGAGTGCAAAGCCCCACTTCCTCCGCCGCGACGGGACCGGGGCGCCGCGGCCGGTGCGCATGCGCCTTGCGGCGCGGGAGCTCTGCGCCTGCGCGAGGGCGCCGGGGCCGGACTGCGCGCGGGCCCGACCCCGACGTGGTTTGTCGCGGGGACGCGAAGCTGGAGGGTCTGCGGGAACTCGGCGTCCGCGGTCCTCGAATCGCTTCGCCGAAGGACACATGCCTTCTGGCCCCTCCTTCTTTGCGTCCGGTCTCGAGGACATTTGGAAACACCCAGCTTCCGGAGTCCCATGCGGAGCCCAGCTGAGCTGCTTGGGCCTCCCAGAACCGGGCCGGTTCTAGGTCCAAGGCAGCTGTGGCCTCCGGTGGACGCGCACAAGCGGACAGCGCCCCAGTGAAGAGATTCTTCCACGTGCCTCGCTGAAGCCAGAGCCAGAGATAGCTTGTCCCCAGGGAACCTCCTTTGGGGATGGTGACCTCCCATCGCAGTTGCCTGGGTCTCCTGCAGAAAGCACATCTCCCAAGAAAGTGGACTTGTGTGTTCACATCATTCTAGCTGCCGGTTCACTTAGTAATCGGAACCAGGACTCCCCTTTGGGCGTCCCAGAGGAAGACAGCTGTGAAAGGATTGTCTCCCCACTCTCTTAGCGTTTACACTCTCTTACAGTTTACCACAGGAAGCCTAAGTTCGTTTGTAGCCCTGCTCCATCAACAAGGATTCAGCCTTCCCTTAGCCCTTTCTGACCCTTGGCCAGCAAAGCAAAAATCTTTGCTCACCTGCCCTGCCCTGGAGTGTCCTGAGTAGGAATCGACGGCAGTAAGTTTTGTTTTCTTTTCCCCCTGAAACACCAGCCGCAAGGCCTATTCCTGCCACATAGTGTGGCTTCTCCGGCTTTCTTCCTCTGTTCTTTGCTTCCTTTTTTTAAGAGATGAAGAAAGGTGACTCTTGTCACCCTATGTACAACAGAACAAAACACTACCTGTTGGCGCCCCGTGCTCACTATTGTTCGTAGGTTTGAGCACTGTCGCAGCCACTGTGTCTGCGTCAGTCTGGGTAGACTGGAGAAACAAATCCACAGACACACATACGTGTATACGAAAGAGCTTTATGTATAAGAGTAGTTGAACATTGAGAAAACATCCCAGCCCAGTCCAGATCAAGTCCATAACTCCACTATTAGCCCATATGTCTGATACCAATCTATAAAGTCCTCTTCAGACTTACAAAACATGTGCAATGATGCCGAATGTAGAAAATCACAGGCCAGTGGGTAGAAAGTCTTTGGATCCAGGGGCATTGGAAACATCTCAGCTCTGGCAGGGGTCTCTGCATGGCTTCTCCAACACCCACGGCTGCATCAGGGTGTGTACATGTGTCTTATCAGCTGCTATGTCTCCCAGGGTATGAGGAGAGTCTCTCAAACCTCCAAGGAGGAAATACCGGAATTCCCAGAATCCTTAAGGGAAGGCTATGCCCACACAGAAGCCTCATTGGCTGTGACCTGATTGACAGGCTAGACTCCACCCCTAAGTACTTAATCCTTAAATTGGCAATTACATCACTACCACAGTGCCATTCCATCTCATTGAGGCCCTTCTGTTTTTCACTGCCCCTCTGTTTTCCCCAACACGATTGTTTGGGAATTCCAAACAATTCCAGGGATTGGTCTCTTCTGATACCCATGTCCATGAGTATGCCCAAAGTACGTGAGTCGAAGTCTCTCGTCATCCTTGCTTCCAAGGATAGTTCTGGCTGTAATTCCTAATCCATATGGGGACCTTCAAATGGATTTGGGGGTTTCACTGTCATTCATAGCTTTCTGTAAAGTAGGTGCTGAAAATTTTAGTTCTAATACAGTTCCCTTCTCTGGTCTTGGCTCTTGTTATTTGCAATCCTTGGATCACACTGGATGGTGTGCAGCTTCTGTGTGGACTTAACTGACACTGCACTTAGATGGCCCTTTGAGGGTTAAGAGTGAAGGGGTGGAGTCTAGCCTCTCAGTGAGACCTTAGTGTGGGCATGGCCTTTCCTTGAGGATTCTGGGAACTCTTGTATTCCTCCTTGGAGACGGGAGACTCTCTGTCTCTCTGCTCACTCCCGGAAGACATTGCAGCTGACAAGACACATGAAACTATGCTAGTGCCCTGAGCTGGAGGAGCCACGTGGAGATCCCTGCCAATGCTGAGATGCGTACAACACCTCTGGATCCACAAGACTTCCCACCCACTGGCCTGTGATCTTCCTGCATTCAGCATCATGGCATGTGTTTCGTGAGTCTGAAGAGGACTTTATAGATTAATATGAACTTTATAGATTGGTATTGGACATATGGGCTAATATCAGACTTATGGACTTGATCTGGACTGGGCTGGGATGTTTTCTCAATATTCCACTGCTCTTTTATATAAAACTCTTTCTTGTACACATATGAGTGTCTCTGAATTTGTTTCTCTATTCAACCCTGACTAACACAGAGCCTTTTCACTAGCTAAGTGAAACTGTTATTTTAGGAAGAGATCAGGGCGTATTTTTCGCTTAAGATTTAAAGATTACTTAAAGGGCAATAATTTTAGAGGTTCGTTTAACTAACATAGCTGTAGAAAGTGTAGAATCCATTAGAATTTATATCTTGCCTTTCCCCCGACTCCCTTTGATCAGGGTTCCTATATGGAATCTTTGATCAAAACATCCAGTCTTGGTGGTTAGGTACCATCTAGTTCTTCTGATGTCATGTCAAATGAGGCAGGCTGTTCATGGAGAGAATGACCCACATATTCCATATCCTCCTTTATTCCTAATGCACTATCCTCTGTTGTTCCAGGTGAACACAAACCAATTGTTGTGCCCGGATGGCCGCATTAAAAGCCCAGATAGTTCCCGACACAACTGCTGAAGACAAAGCGGGTGAATAAGTAAATGTGGTGAAGAAAGCTGATGGTGCCCGGCTATCAAAAGATATAGCATCTGGGGTCTTAAAAGCTTGAAGGTAAACAAGTGGCCATCTAGCTCAGAAGCAACAAAGCCCACATGGAACAACATATCAGCCTGTGTGATCACGAGGTATCGAACGGGTCACTGAAGACTAATGGGTGCATAAGCAAATGTGGCGAAGAAAGCTGATGGTGCCCGGCTATCAAAAAGTATAGCGTCTGGGGTCTTAAAGGCTTGAAGGTAATCAAGCGGCCATCAAGCTCAGAACCACAAAGCCCACATGGAAGAAGCACACCAGCCTATGCAACCACGAGGTGTCTAAGGGATCAGGTATAAGGCATCATCAGACCAAAAAAATCTTACCATAGTTAATGATGGGGGGAGTGCGGAGTGGAGACCCAAAGCCCATTAGTAAGCCACTGGAGATCCCCTTGCAGAGGGGTTTCGGGGAGGAGATGAGCCAGTCAGTATGTGATGTAACAATGATGAAAAATACAACTTTCCTCTAGTTCCTAAATGTTTCCTCCCCGCTCCCACTACCATGACTCGAATTCGACCTTGCAAGTCTGGCTAGACCAGAGGATGTACACTGGTACAGATAGGAATTGAAAATACAGGGAATCCAGGGCAGATGAGCCCTACAGGACCAGTGGTGTGAGTGGCGACACAGGGAGGGTAGAGGGAGAGTGGGTAGGAAAGAGGGAACCGATTACAAGGAACTATATGTGACCTCCTCCCTGGGGGACAGACAACAGAAAAGTGGGTGAAGGGAGACGTCGGATCGGGCAAGATATGACAAAATAACAAATTATAAACTATCAAGGGCTCATGAGGGAGGTGGGAGCGGGGAGGGAGGGGAAAATTGAGGACCTAAAGTCGGGGGTTTAAGTGGAGAGAAGAAAATGTTTTGAGAATGATGAGAGCAATGAATGTACAAATGCGCTTTACACAATTGTGTGTATGGATTGTGATAAGAGTTGTATGAGCTCCTAATAAAATGATTTAAAAAAAAGAAAATGATGATAGCAATAAAAATAAAATAAATAATAAATAAAAGCCCAGGTAGAGTAGGAGGTAGAACCGAAGCCCTTATTAGGCCATTAACTGGACTAGCTCATGCAACCAGGACCCTAACCTCCAAACTGATGAACCAAATCCCATGAGGTTGTTGATTGTACTTTAGCAGCTTCATCAACTACTTTTTCTGCTGTTATTGTTATTTTGTTGTTATCTAGCACAATTTTTGCCAATTGAACTTTTTGCCGATGTACAATTTATTGACGATGCACCATAGGGAGTACAATCCTACCCATTCTATTTCCTTTTAAAATGTAGTTAGCAAATAGTACACAACGCTCTGTGCCAACAGGGTCCTGAAAATAATTTGAATGGGAAGTCTTACTCTGGAAGCTAAGGTATTGACATGGGACGCTCCTGCATGTAGTGTGGGACCTCTTGTCCTCACCCGTTCTAAAGGCAACAAAACTCAGTATCTCAGGTGCCTACTCTAACTTCTCAAGTGTGTGATTCTTCCGGGGCATCATATAGAAAGTGGGAAAATGGAGGGTGATATTCATTTGTAGCCATTGTTGTGTGGGCAGCAAGCACAGATGCCTAGATTCAGATAGAAAAATCTCATCTAGCAGGTAAGCCCCAATAGCTATCAAGCATGTCCAAGTACCAGGAGAATACAGTACTATGACTTCTGCCAGCAGTTCCCTGCTGTGAATACCTTTACAGTGTGTGGTAGTGACATAATTTCATGTCAACTTGATAAATAAATGTAGGGGTGGAGTCTAGCCTGTCAATCAGGTCACAGCCTGGTGATGCCTCCTTGTGGGCATGGCCGTCTCATGAGGATTCCTGGAACTTCCTATCTTTCTCCCGGAGGTGGGCCACACACTCTTTCTCTGCTTCACCTTCCTGTTGAAGAACCAGACTCAGAGCTGGAGGAGCCACGCAGAGACCTGTGCCAGGGCTGAGTTGCTTCCACCACCATTGGATCCACAAGATACTGCACCCACTGGCCTGTATCTTCCTGCATTTTGA